TTCTTTGTTGTATTGTCTTTGGGTCTCTCAAAGTAGACGTGTGTCGTTTTTGTCCTATTACATCCAAGAGATAATGTAAATAGATCGTCATCGTGTATTATGTTTAATTTTTCTCTATATCTCTTTGCTTTTTTTGGTGTCGTTGTTTGTTCAAAAGTTGTGTTTTTGTTTGTTTTTTTTGTCTCAAAGGTTTTTTGTACACTTGTATATAAAACTTGTCTTTTCTTCCTCTGTATATACCGCTGTATGTGTGTGTGTGTGTGTGTGATGATATTGTTTATTTATCGTATGAGTAAGAAAAACAAAAAGTACGTAACAGTTCAATCATGCAAGAGGAAATCGTCGTATAAACATGTCAAGCTAATCATCACTGATTTAGCGCAATTTTTTGACACATGTTAGTAAAAATATCCGAAATAAGTTCTTACGATTTTTACGAGTCATTGCGGACAGGAGCAAAGTAGTTTCGACTTTTAAAACTTTTTTTCGTTTTAACGTTTGTGTAGACTATCTATCTGCTCAATACTCTTATCCCAGGGATCACATCTAGACGCTTTGCTGATTTAATGGTTCTATTTAAGATACATGAGTGAAGCAGCGCAACAGGCTTCTCAGGATTTTATCCTGTTTTTTAAATGTTATGTTAAGAACTGACTCTCATTTTCAGGCTACATTAAGTAGTGCATTTTGTTAATAGCAATCGTCTTCTGTCATAGATATTGAAAATAATTTTCGTAAGAGTGACCGTTTGCCAAGCTACTTCTGAGAGCCCTATTTCCTAGTTATTTATCCTCAACGTTTAGCTTCGAATGAAAAGATTACCTTTGTATTCAAAAAAGGGTTAATATATTTAGTATGACCGTTTCTAATTGTATAGTTTTATTCTTGTTTATCTATCTTATTTTCAGTTTTTTTCTTTCATCTTTACGGTGTAAACATTTGTTACTTCATTGTTCATTGTTTGTGTATATACACAAAAAAAAATTTTCTACTATTTTTCTTGCATTCTTGGATTTTTCTGCTTTTTTGCCGATTGTCCGAATAGTGTTCGAGAATAAACAGTACACATTAAAAGAGTTGTTCTAAAGACAAAATGTTCGCTGCTATCCACTTCATTTGATTGGTAAGTAACAGTATTCGTCCACAAACAAAATACTGAGCACCCAAACTGTCTGAATTTCATTTCTGAGTAATGTATAGAGGTTTCTATAGTAACACTTTTGTTCGATTATATAGCAGACAGGCTATCCCTAATCGATGATCCCCAAAAGTTCTTTTATCCTACCAAATACGTATTTAAACGTATTTGCTGTTGAACTGAGTAAAATGGATCTGTGAAAGAACATAAAAGAAGAAAGACTTATTTTAATGTCAGAATATAATGAAAAGATTTTAAGATAAATAGGTGAATTGAAAATATTATTTGATATTGGAAAGCGATACTTTTTAACTATATAATAAGTGGAGAATAAGTAATGAATGGATATAGTGGTACGACTCTGTGGCAACTGTGCACAACTCGATATCTATACTAACCACTACAGTATTCAATATTGTGCAAATACTACTGTCTGAGAAGGTAACGGTCAATCAAAATCACAATTTGAATAACTAATATGAGTAAGACGTTAAACATCATATAGAAAGACATTTGTTCATAGAAAAAAAGATCGATATTGCAACAAAAAAGAGAATCACGAAAAGAATCACCGTAAGAAAATTTGTTATCAAAATGGGCATATAAAAAACGCACATGTTAAAAATCTATACAAAATGGAAGATAGAAAATCGATTCAAAAAGTTAATCACAAAAACAAATATTCACTAAATAATCGAAACTATTGCACATTAACAAAAATATTATTCTGTCAAAGAATTTGTTGTTGACGATCTTGATGTACGTTCTTCGTTATTGTTATTTAATGCTATTAATTCTGCTAAACGCTTAAAAGATGCATCATGTACGGCACGTGTTTCAATATGTAGTCGTACACGATTCTAAAATATCCACGAACAATAGCAAAATGAACTCGAACATAGAAAACAAATATTATTACCGCAAATTTCAATGTATCAACTTGTCCATTCAACTGTACTAAATTCCAAAGATTCAAAGCAAATTTTGTACAAGCATTTTGTGTTAAATCAGCATGAGCAACTAAACGATTCAATAATTCTAATGCCAATGACGACTGACGTTTTGTATTCTACAAAAGAACAAAAACAGAATAAGCAACAGGTGAGACATTTATTGTTAACATACACTATTTCCTAGTTCTTTTAACTGTTGTATTATTTGTTCAATAATACGTATTAAACGTTGGTTTATTTCATTTAAAAAATTTGGATCACATCCATAGAGAACGTCGTTTGATTCAACTGAAAATAGAACAATTGCTCGTTATTACTCTTTATAACAAATGATTGACATCGAATACCTTTCGGGATGTGGTATGGCAATGATACTTGGTAATACGTTGACAATAAACATAACAAGTTCATTGAAAGTAAAATTTTTGTTTCACTTCCATCTTCTAAGCAACGAAGTTGATTAATAACATTTTGCAGACCATTGAACAGATACAGTACACCAGAGTCTGGATTATCCTTTCAAAGTAAAGTAAAAACAATCAATGAAAAGAACGAATAAATTCCATGTATCTCACTCACTGGGACAATAATTAATGTTGACATAATATGACTAACAACTTCTAACAAATATTTTTCACTGGAAACTAATTTATTACGATTATTGTCAAGATCAATTGATTTTGGAAAATCAGATAATATTGTAATGGCTGTTTTCAAAAAAGCATCGCCTAAAAACAAAAAGAAGTGACTATCATAATTTAACAAGTATACGTTAATTACCTTGTGAAGGACTCTGATTTAAATAAGCTGTTTGAGCACATAATGTATAAAGTTGAAGTTTTTGTAACGGATTACTTAATGCTGGAATCGTAATATAGCAAAATGCCATACAAGCCTTGAATAAAGACAGAAAACAGTATAGAGTATACGAAAACTGAGCTCATGAATGCATGAAACACCTAGCAAACGTTTAGCTAGTCTAACAGAAATTCATAGTGTATTATTTACAAAGGTAATCAAAAAAAAAGATAATCAGAATAAGAATTGTTATGTGAAGTGAAGACATTAATAGTCTTACCCTAACAAACGATGCCGTTGTTCTACTATGTGTGCCATTCATTATTCGTAATGTATGTGCTGCCAATGTGTTCACTTTCTAAACAAAACTTAATTTGAGTAACATTTTACTAGGTTGTTTTTCATTAATTATCCTTACCTGTATTAATGTAATAGTTACCGAATCTAGATGAACAAAAGCCCCTCTTGCTTCAACATAAAATTTTAATTCTTGCTCAAAATCTTGTCCATATGCAATTTTTCTTATAAACGATGAAATTAATCCACTTATTTCTCGTAATTCATCTTCATTTGTCATTACCCTATAGATAAAAGAATAAGTTTTCATGATTTTTCTCAAATGTGTCTGTCTCACACTTACCCGAGTGTATCATGTACACATTTAGCTATAAACATGACGCCACTAATCAATATTGGATCATTCGTTGTCTCATTAGGATTTCTAACAGAATAAAATATGCGAATACATTTCTCTGAACCAAATTAGAATAGCTAATTGGCTCACTTGACAAACGCTTGTAACACAGACTTATATACATCAACTTTAACATTTTCACGTTGAAATAAATCGAGAAATGGGAGGAATTTATCCTAAAAAAAGAGTCAGTAGAGTAACTTGTTAAAGTCACTAAATTAGTCGACTCAAAGTCAAACGCACCATTGTAAAGATAAGCGTAAAATCAGTTATATACGATAAGATTTTTGTCATTATTGAATGTAATTTTTGATAGTAATCTTCAAATGCACGATCTTGTAATAAATGTTTGACGATGTCTCCTAGCATTGTGTTTACTTCACGAACCTAACAAACATAATTCATATTCATTTGACAAATACATTAAAAAACAGAAAAACTACCGTATATTCTTTAGCAGTTAATTCAATCCATACTTCAGCACATGCCATGTATTCCTAGAACACATAAGAAAAATGGTGTTCATTTTTGCATATTCAATACTATTCAAATCTTTGTACCATTACGAAGTGTATGTTTGAAATACAACTTTTAGTTTATTCGACAGAAAAATCTGAACTTATATACTAATAAATGGAGACCGACTATTTTAATTTATTTATCACTTTTGAAAATAAAGTTCAAATCTATGATCTCATTTGGATCATTCATTGTACATGAGAAGTACTAGAATCACTTAGGACTTAACAAGACAATGTCAGCAACATGAACTTAAGTCACCATAAAGATGATTGTACTGTGTTTATTGTGCTAATTGCTTTTATAATTTTAATGTTGACAATTGAAATCCGTAGGTAACATGTTTTACTCAATCGTTAATATTTCTTTTGTAAAATCGAAATGATTCTCGTTCATAAATGGTACTTGTATTATAGATAATTGATGCATGTCTTGTTTGTTTTTTCAATCATCTGGGTGATTGAGGATATTTAAAGAATTCAAATAATCGTAATGCTTCTTTTAGTTATGGATATATATAACGGACACCCGTAAATGTTACTTGTTGCATCTATTTGCTCTTTTAAACTCACGGTTTGAAATAGAACATCTAAAAATGTTTCATTACATAAATCATTTTAAAATAATGAAAATAAATATTTTGTTAATAAAAAGTGTAGTTGAGAATCTTGGACATCTTCATCGGTACTGTTGCTCTACTTTATCGATCTATTCACGGTTCTTTGGACGTTAGTTTCATCATCAAATTATAGTTAAATATATGCAACTAATAAATAAATAAAATGCTGATTTTTTTTAATCTGATTTTACTAGTTGTTTTAATATATCAACGATGAAATCAATAAGTTTGATAATAATATAACGATTTAATATTGAATATTGAATATTACACCTTCAGATGCCTATAATACCATGTACTTACTGTATTGCACATCATTAATAGTCGAACCGATACCATAGGGTATGAATGTACAGTAAACGAATTGAAAATGGTAGTAATCCATCCAACCTAACCATAGTCTTCGCTGGCGTAGATACGAGATTATAAATTACCAAACAATTTAAATTGTATTTCAATCGTTTGAAAATGATAGATTTGCATCAAAAAGGCAGAAAGGATAAACCTTATATTATACTTGTTTTGACTCATGTCATTATTTAAAACAGACTATTATCCTATCCACCGCCTTAAACCAACAGTGATTTAAGAAATTTTTTCAAACAATCAGTTTTCATGAGAGCTCGTCGAAAATCGAAATTAGTATAACAAATATCCAACTGGAACCCAAAAGTCCTCTACAGGTGGCTTTTATCACTTTTCCCCACCTTTATGAACATTATCAAGCGGCTCACTCTCATTCAACGCGCCACTCCTTTCCCTCGTTCTTTCGGTTTTATCCGAGAAACTGTTAAGTGGAGTTTTTATACATTTAAAAGATATTTAGCACCATAATAAATTCGAATATTCGTTCATTTTTGGTTTTCATCTATTTCAGATTTTGTAGTTTCGTATACGGAAGAATTCGTTAGCTGATCTTCGGTTATTTGTGATAAAAATATTTTATAAGCTAATCGACGAATAATATCATCAAGATATTTATCAAATGTCACTTATGGAGCATTGTTAGCGTTTAAATCAAATTCTGGACACTAAATATTAGCTTATCACATTGTATGAAGATGTTCGCGAATATATGCTGCACACTGAGGATCATAAGCAAACAAAATACTCTGTTCTATTGAAGAAGACATTTATTTATCTACAACAAAATCATATGAGTTGCATTCTAAACACCTTAAATGTCCATCATCGTTAACATACAACTCAGTATTGTGTTCAATGTATAATATTTGTAACAACATCGACGTACAAAAGTAATAGTCATGCTTACAACTGAGATTAGCAAGTGTAAAAAATTTGTTTAAACATATTAAAACGACTGACTATTTCCACTTGCTAATGATCTTATAAACATTAACTGTGAACTTTGACACAAATACATCCAATGATGATTACTTTGTAAAACATTAAACAAAACTTCTGATTTGATTGTAATAAGTAAACGAAATAATCTAGCTATAAAAAGATTCCACAATATGGAATATATTGAAGACTATGTTTGAAGAGACTCAAAAAAGCTTCAGAAATAATTTGAAAATTCCTCACGTTTAGATATGTTTTTTTTTTTCGCTAAATCAACTAAGAATATGAGATGATGAACGTTGTTAAGTAAAAAAATGACAATTTACCGCTGGATCCTTGAATTTTGTTACCACTTTCCATACATCATTTAAGATTTTGAGATCAGCTGAATCATGGGAAGGTGCCAGTATTAAACATAAGCCAAGTGAGCGAATTAATGTACTCTAAATTGAAAAATAACGTTAACTAGATAAAAGAACGTATTGCAAAGAAAAAAATTACCTTCGAAAACATTTGATCATTACATTCATTGATCATTTCAATAAACTGCGGAGCATGTGATCTTACATAATTTGGTTCAAATGTACATAATATAGAATTGAGCAGAAGACCGCTAAAATATCATCCATCATCCTCTTTTTCAATATAATAATTATTGTTGTGCAAACATAATACCTTGCCAATTTATTTTGTTGTAGTCGGCATAGTTGAACAACATTCTCTATTTTTTCTATTGTCATTTTATGTGTAAGACATTGAAGCATCCAATCAATTGCTGGTGAATACAATGATAAATATTGACTTGTTGATAATTTTTGAGCAGTATAAATTCTTTTGATTGAAACCGTTTCAACCTGAATTAAAAAAGATAAAAAATTACCAAAAAGAAGAAAAAAAAATGTCATTTCATTACTTGATAAAAACAATGTAGTGAATCAGTAAATGCACTATCGATATGTTCACGAAATGTTGGATCAATAGCCATTCCAACCTAAATAAATATAATAATAATTTCTATTCAAAGTGAATAAAACTAATTGTACTCGACATATGTAGCATCTTGTGAATGCAGCAACAAGTGGATCAGCAATACCACGGCACATTTTGATCAATTGTATTAATGCTGTTTGATAATGACTAAAAAATAATAAAAATGTGTTAGAAGAAAATGTTTTTTCAACATAATTTATTTATTTTCATACTTTTTTGATAAAAAATTATAACATTGTAAAATTGCTGCTTCCACAAATATACGTGGCAGTAATTCTCTTATAATTGCTATTTTATAAAACCAATTACGACATGTTTCTTTTGTTATTTCCGGAATTAAATCGGGTGCAACACGTTCAGCTAAAAATACATAAATATAAGAAAAAAAAAGAGAATTAAATTAATAATTTATATGGACACATACGTGCTTTACCACCAGGAAATGCACATTTTTCTAATAAACGATTGTAAACAAGTTTTCCTAAATATTGTAAAAACAGAAATTTAGACATTCGTTATCGTCTTCTTAATTTCAATTCAGAAATTACCAAAAGTATCTAATAAATCTGTCACCAGTACAAATTTACTAGGATAAAATTGCATGACATTCATATCCATTAGAAGCTTGGAGCTCTTTATTATAATATATAATAAACAGAAATATAATTTTAGAATAATTATAAAATACAATTGGTTACCTGTATGACAATTTTTAATGCTTTAACTCTCTGATCAACTTTCCACGATTGGATCATTTCTTTATTGAAATCATTAATACGTGTTATATACTCTTGTTGGGTTAAACTTTGAGTTTCTTGACCACCCTCGAATGAAAATAAATTGTTGTAAATTAATCATGAAAATATGTATGTTAAAGTGTTTAAAGATTTTCTACTTACTTCAAATTCATCTAGTTGTTCAAGACGCATTTTAATTCTGTCAGCAGTCGCCATTTGACTGGTTATTGTCACTATAAAAAAATAATATTTTTATTTTATTTATCCGAGTAGTTTATGATCATAAACGTGACAACGTACTTTTTTCTTTATCATCATCATTCAAGACAATGGCTGTTGTTATACTTATTTTCTCTGATGTTGTATAACGCGTTAATATAGATGCCTTTTTACTTGACCATGGTTCAAATGAGTCATCGACTCCTGCTGCTAATTTAGTAGTTTTATCCTAAAAGTATATAACTTATCCATAAAATAACTCAATTAATTTTAGAGATATTCTCACTTTTTCTTTGGATGTCAAGGCCGCTAATGCTTCTGATAATGGATCAATTACAGTATTTGTGTTTGCTACTAACAAAACAGATAAAGGATCAATTCCATTGCTTACAGTTGGAAGTGATTGTTTGCCAACATCAGGTGGCTTAATCTAAGCAAAAAAACTTTAATCTTAATATAAATTTTATGTAAGAGTACAAGAGAACTACCGTTTGAACGCCGAGAGGATGTGTCGCTGTGGGAGCAACTGATTTGATTAATTGTTTTCGTTCGAATACATAATCGCGTTTTCGAGGAGCCCTAAAAAGTGAAAAGTATCAAAATGATTTTTATTTCTATAACTTAAAAATATCTTGAAAAATATTGATCCTATACCATTTTAATGTGGTTGTTGAAGACATCAATTATGCTCTTTAATCATAGGTCTACAAGAAGTAAAATAAGAAATTAAGTTTCGTTAGACATAGGCAACTAAAGTCAAGAGTGTATTGAATAGTCGATAACTGTTTCAAATCTCCAACGAGGATATTCTATTCTTTGTTTGAAAAGAATCTACTCAGGAAAAATCTATCACGGTCAAAGCCATCGAAAATTTGATTACTGAGCAATATCTTGCAGTTAATTGTCAAAAGTATGCGTGTTTATCTCTTTGTGAACGAACTAGATAAGGACGTGGTAAGTCAACAGATAGATCGCGATCATTTATTTACAACTAATATGAAGAAATCGAACTGTCCAGTTATATTCTACGATACAAAATACATGTTAAAACGAAATTAAGTTAAAAAAAGAAAAAAACAGAGATTCTTCTCCTTGCTCTGCTCATAACTTGATCATATAGTTTATATAAAAAAATGGAACATATGATTGATGGCGATCGAATGATAATTTATACTGTTGTTGATTTTCGATTCTCTTCTTCAGTTTCTTTATGCATGATGATGTGCTCATCACGAAACTGGCCGCAAATCCACAACAATATTGAATTGTACCAGCTTAGTTATCCAATAAAATAAGTTTTCATATCCATTAGCACATTTGATTGATTTTGATTTCTAGGATTTACTTATCACATCTTCTACAGACTAAAGTGCTGATGCTATTATTTCATTTCATTTCATCGTATTGGGATGAATTTGTCGTTTGGGTTTGTAATCTCTGAGAACATCTAACAATGACTCCCGATAAACGACAATGTTTTTCTACATCATTGTACGATGTATAGGATTTTTTGCCAACTCATGATATCAGAGCCTATAAGTTGAAAAACGTTAGCCAATATAACTTCATTTTTGACATTCTTACCTTCTTACATCATCTTGAAGAGTAAAAGGAGCAATTCCAATCAGATCTGCATGTAAACATATACCATACAGCATAAATTAAAAAGTAATTCAGATTATTGTCGCTCGTTATTGAAACACGTATCTTGAACATTTTTCTTGGCTATAAAGAAAGAGTTCAGAAACTTTATGTAGAGAAATTGACAACTGAGTACTGAGTATACTGAATCTAAAATTGGGCCAAAATAGACTCCTAGAAGAGATTTTATAGCTCGACATTTTTTAGACAGATAAAGTCGATTCCAACGAGGAAAGCGCACATCTGTATTCTGCAAAAAAAGATTTTTTCAGCACTGGTTTGACACGGGTGCGCACCGATATCGGATAATTTTTTTCTCCGAGGGCTGATGCGAGATTTTGACGTTCTTTCTGACATGGGCGCACATCCGTGCCAAATCAGTGCTGAAAAAATCTTTTTAGCAGATGGAAAAAAAACACTCGACCAGGGCCGCAAATAACGGAAGGGTGTGGGAGGGTGCATATCCACCGAATAATTGAAAAAGCTGTTGTTATTCTATTCATTATTTCTCGCACACATTTTTTTTTATCAATTTTACACTGCCTCAAAGAGAAATTTTTTTATACCCCCCTAATGTTCTGCTTCTGTTTGCGCCTCTGCACTCGACTATTGTTAACGCTAATTTAAAAAAGCCGAGAAAATGAGAAACAGTGAGTCGAATATTTTTCTTTTGCCCTATAAAAATATTTTATCAACATGGGCCTGCATCAGTATCATCCAAAAAGTTCGTTTCGCACCGATGCTCCTTAGTGTCAAAGTTTTGTTTCCAATCATCATTGTATTTTGTCAACTTCTGTTTATATAAACACCACGCCTTACTCTTAATATTTCGAATGTCGTTCTGACTTCACCTTTTCGATACAGTGCGCATGGTTTTGGCATGGCAATATGGTACTGGTATCAGTCAGTGCGCACTCTAATTAATACAAAATTACCGTAAGCAACAATAATAAAAAACTAAGTACTGATTAAATAATTCCAGTGCCGCGCTGAATTTTTTTGTACGGTGTGTAATCGATCATGATGAAACAGAAAATCGTTAGAGAACACTACTATCGTTTTGTAAAGACAATTGCAATTCGCAAAAGCGATAAAGGCTGAAAATCCCAGTACAGAAAATTTGACTCAGTCACATCCATGCACAACGATTAAGACATTCACATTAAAAGGCGTACGACCTCTTATTTGTTTGCACCTTAAATATGGGTGCTAAATCATTGACAAACAACTTTAGAACATCTTTTAAATATATTGCTAAAAACTCCTGCTCTGAAACCAGCTCTCAAAGGATGCATGAATGACAGATGGGCGCTAGATACTTGGTTTTATTTATCTAGCTTTTAGAAAAATGTTCTCAGAAAAGAACCAGTCAGAGCGTCATTGCCTTCTAGTTTGTTCAGAAAGTGGAAAATAAATTTCACAGTAACGGTTGCAAAAGAATTGAAACTTAAAATCTATGTGTCCCACAAAACAGTACACTTTATATTACATACTATTAAGATTTTATATTAAAAACATTTGCCCAACAAAACTAAGTCGATAAATAGTAAATCACTAAGAAGCAATGACAACTAGAAATTCGACCATGCTCTAACATTTATCGATCTTCACTATACAGCTCATAGACACATTTACATTAGTCTATTTAAAGCAACAACGCAGGCAGATGCAAGCTTATCTTCAACTTCGTGTAATAATAATTCTTATGTTAATAAAATCTGTCTGCATTTGGCATGTGTCTTATGATTGGTCGAAGATGAAAACAAAACGATTAGACTGTGCTGCAAAAAAGACAACAGTTTTGTACAAAAATTTTAATTTATTTCTCAATTTAATAAATATACTCTATCGCAAGACGAATTTTTTTAAAAGACTTTTGGATCAGATGTCGTTCTTAGACACGAATACATGTTCATCCAAACGCTTCAGTAATTCAATTTATTCTAAAATTTGTATTTAGTTCAAAACTAAGAGAGTGATCACATTGTTTAACGATATGGTTTTTTATCATTTAATAAGCATTGATGCATACAGATATTGAGAAAACCTAGGAATCTGGTTGAGAAGAATGAATGAATGAATTTTATTTTTGTAAAAGAACACATGAAAATTACAAGATCGCTAGAGCTTGTTTGAAGAGGTTAAGCATGCCTATGTAAAAACAGGACTACACACAAAGATCCAAGTTTCTAACAGTACTCATAAGTTGAAACACGTTTATATATATAGGATCACATCGATCGTTGTAATTCTTTGTAATTATTCGAATATGATAAGTCTGTCATTTGGATACACTCGAAATTTTTTGATTCGGAGAACAACGTTCCTAGTTAGTGAACTGTTAAAATATGGGGTGTTGCACGAAAAGTGACTCGAATATTAAGTGATTTCCCTCAAAACGGTTTCTGTATAAATATTTAATCAGGTAAAGATTAATATGGTAATAATTACGATGTCAGTAGATCTTGAGACATGTATCATATAATAGTTGGGTACTTCCATAGGTCCGCCCAGTTTATACATGACCCAAGAGCCGGAAAAAATTTAAGACTCTTCCCGTGATAAAAAGTTACATAGAAATCCATATTTGTTCACTAAAAAAGTCACAGCCTATATGCCTTTTCAAGGATGTCAAGTTTCGGCCCTCCTCCTAATAAAGCAACTTTGATCTTATTTTTCTCTGCCTCTACAGAGCTTACACCACCGTTGGACATACCACACGAAAGAGCACTTCGAGTAGTACAAATCCTAATATTGAAAACTTCTCCTAGTACTTTTACAGCGGCAGGCCAGCTATCACAAAATAGCCGAAAATGAAAAAACGGCACTTAGTATTTCCCCTTTACTGAAGGCAAAACAAAACAAAAAGTACTTGCACTATACATAAAAATGAAGCCAAAGAGCTGATTAATTCAATAGTAAAGGAATACGGCCGATATGTATCTTCCTCTTTTAGTATGAAACCCATCTTTGAAGACCCCTTTTCAAAAACAGTCAACTTTCGGGTCCCACAGCAGAAAAACTATACGATAGAATTCTTTTATTTTGCTCCCATTTGTAGTACTCGTCGAACTCTACAAAATGGCATCAAAGATATTTTTGGCCCACTCCATTTTCACCCTCTTTTCTCGATCACAAAAGTCAGAAATATCGACAACTGTCTTCATGTTGTCATCTGATTTTCACTGTTCTAAAATTCCAGTCAAGGCGAAATAGTTATTAATTCGCAATCCATCTTATTTTTAGCTAAACTAATACAAAACTGCTTATGTTCAACGAACGCGGCTATAAGTTTCTCGCTAAACTATTCTAAGAGATACTTTTCTCACATCAAATATACGGATTTTCATTGGACAAAAGTAGACCAATAACATTTTGAGAAAACTGCGTTCCAGAAATAGCATCTCTACACTGTCCCGGAAAAGCATACTTTTAGAAAAAGCACACTTAAATTGTGCCAATGGCATGGAAAAAGTGTGCCAAAGTATGCTTTTTATGTGCTGCCAGCATGCTTTTTTATGTGCTGCTAGCATGCT